TTTCATGCAGATATTTTTATTTATAGTTTCACAAAACTGAAGTCAAACCATTTTGTTTTTGCTTCAAATTTCGAAATTATACAACCTAATTTAGATTTAAAAAAATGCTCATGTTGCATGTATGCAGCATCTTTGTTTGGATCATGATTAAAATGCAGTGGTTGCCACTAAATTTAAATGGAAAGAGCACAGACAAAGCCTTAGTTTGTTTATATGAAGATATTTATTTTATTTGTGTTACTTATTTATTTGATTTGGGGTTTGTTTTAAAATTTAAATTTAGTTTTGTTATTTACATTTACATTTAAATTTTGTCATTTAGCAGACGCTTTTATCCAAAACGACTTCAATCAAAACCAACAAAAGAGCAATAATATGCAAGTGTTATATTAGTATATTATTATAGTGTTATATTTCAATTTCACAAAGAAACGTGCGACATTTTGTCCAAGCAATAATAAAAGGACACATTTAATTATAATTTGTCTTAAATCTCATTTTGTTAAAAAAATAATAATCGTGAATCGAATCGTGAATTGAATCGAATCGTGAGTTGAGTGAATCGTTACATCCCTATTGCTTACCAATGGATCCTCTGCAGTGAATGGGTGCCGTCAGAATGAGAGGCCAGACAGCTGATAAAAACATCTCAATAATCAATCAGTGTGACTCCAGTCCTTTAATTTACATCTTGTGACGTGAAAAGCTGCATGATTGTAAGAAACAAAGATGCTTTCACTTTAAACTGTTGTTTCTGGCAAAAATATGAGTCCATAAGTCCATCCCCTATTGTCCTCTCACATCAAAATCCACCGACATATTTGTTTAGAACTGTTTTGGACTGTTTTCTCTTGTAAACGGTTCTTGATCTGTGCATATTTCTCTTCTGATTCAGACTGATTCAACTTTTTCACTGGAGAAAGCAATATCATGGATAGAGGACTCATATTTTAGCAGAAAGCAATGGTTTGAAGTTAAAAACATCTTACTGGTGGATTTGTTCCTTACAAACAAGCAACATTTTGCTGCACAAAATGTTAATTGATGGACTGGAGTTTTGTGGATTACTTGTGGATTATTGCAATGTTTTTATCAGCCATTTGAACTCTCATTCTGGTGGCACCCATTTACTCCAGACGATCCATTGGTGAGCAAGTGAAGTGATACAAAATTTCTCCAAATCTGTTCCAATGAAGAAACAAACTTGTCTACAGCTTGGATGGCCTGAGGGTGAGACAATTTTCAGCAAATTCTCATTTTTGGGTGAACTATTCCTTTAAACTAACTGACCAACTGTGAGAAGAGAGTACTTGCAGTTTGAGAAGGAACACATCTGCTGTGTCTCTCTTTGTCACCAGAGCAGAAAAGGAAAGACATGTCTGAGTTTATAGGTCTGTCTATATCCCTAACAAATACTCCTATTTAAGCAGATTCATCAAGTTTAAGTAGCACTTTGTTGTCAATTTTTTTTAACTACTTTTTAAAAAAAACTAATTTAACTACTTTCTTATAGCATGTCTATCATTGTGTTAGTAACACAGATTAGAAGTTAACAGTTATATCTCACTAAATTGTTGTCAGTGTACACACTGTAAGTGAAATGTTTCATTGTACCTATTATGCAATCGATTACTGAAGAGGTAATCGTTGTACCTAGCGTGCTGGCTCTGTTAATCTTTATACATACCACTACACGCAATCTTACAAACTAATGTTCAGTCGTTTTTGCTGCTTCGTTCTAATGATTCGTGTCAAGTTTCTTTTGACCTGTTTTGTAATCAGGTTTACCCATGCCCAGATTCAGCAGTATTGTTTGTATTTAGATCTGGAGCCAAGTGTTGAAAGAGGTTTAAGTTCAGGTCATTTAGTTAAACAAAGAGCACATGGTTGGGCGGTCCGATAATAAAAGTCGCCAGTAGAGCGTGGCGGAGCATTTATAGAGTTCAGCTGGAGTCAGAGAGAACATCTCTACCTGCGTGACACATAAATCTTCTGTCTACTTTTTGAGAGTCTTCTGCATACTCCATGAAAACGCGTAAGCAAGATTCAATTATTTATGCGTATAATGATGCCATAATGATTTTTTGCACTTTGATTTCTTTAGCAATCATTAAGTTATTTACAATTTACATGTGTAATTCAGGTTTATATATATATATATACACACACACACTACTGTTTAAAAGTTTGAAATTTTCTTTCTTTTTTTTTTTTGGAGAATGAAGAATTTTGTTGAGCAAGGGTGCAATATAACATTTAATCAAATAATTCTGTTAATCAGGAGTCCTGAATATATGTATCATGATTTCCACAAAAATATTAAAACAGCACTGTTTTCAACACTGATAACGTAAAATTTTGCATAAACACCAAAACAGCATATTTCAATTATTTCTATAGGATCATGTGACTCTGAAGAGCGAAGTAATGGCTTTTTATTGATATCATTTATATTGAATATATACTATTGGATATAATTTTTATATTATTATCTTGCTTTCATATTCAATAACCTGAATTACAAATTTGAATGTTAAATTATTACAGAATTTACCATAAATGTAGACGGATAATACCTGATAACTTAATGTAATATTTTCAAATACCGGTTTGTATATATTAAAGCATCAAAGTCTTTGAGGTTCTCTATATTCTTTAACTGAATAATTATGTGCTAACCATTCTTAAATTCTCCATTAATAGCATTGCACCCTTCTAATCATGACAAGTTGTTGCTGTAATTGAGAAAGTCAAATTTAATAGGCTCTTTGGTCATAAGAATTAGGTCAAATCCTTTGAAAATGTGCGTAAAAATTAGGACTTGTCGAGTTGCACTAGAAGAGAAGAATATTTATACTTTTAGTGTAACGGATGAATAAACTGACCCAGAGTGACAAGCATGTACGTGCAGCTGTAAATGATTGGCTGCATAGGTTTACACATTTACCATATGTAATGAGCGACTACTAATCTCTTCAAACCTCTCAAAGACCACTGAAGTGGGTTATATGGTTCAGTTTTGATGATAACAGGGTAGTTATAGGAACTCAGCTATAGGAACTACTAGTTATAGGGAACTAAAGGTTGAAGATGAATTTTATTGGTTCATTCTGTTTTGGGACTTTTATGACTGTGAAATTAAACCCTGTACTGTGTTTTTTTTTTTTTTGTTTGTTTTATAGCTCACCATGGCCACATTGCTGTGTCTCTTCTTCTCTTTGCTTGGCCTGGCTGTCATGGGATCCGTGAAGAACTGCCATCCACAGTGTCGGTGTGAAGTGGAGAGCTTTGGCCTCTTTGACAGTTTCAGCCTTACCAAAGTGGACTGCAGTGGAATTGGCCCTGGGAACGCTCCTGTCCCCATCCCTCTGGACACATCCCATCTCGACCTCTCCTTAAACTCCATCACCTCCATCAGCGACTCGATGCTCTCAGGACCAGGTTACACCACCTTGGTTAGTCTGGACCTGAGCGGCAATCTCATTTCACATGTCAGTCCCAAAGCGTTCTCCAAACTTCGCTACCTCGAGACGTTGGACCTGAGCCACAACGCGCTTGAGGATCTCGCCGACGGCTGCTTCATCGGACTCCCTCTGGTTGAGCTGGACCTGAGTGAAAACCGATTCAAAGAGTTCAGTCTTGATCTCTTCACCACCAGAGCACAGGATGTACCAATCATGGTGGACCTGTCACGAAACCTTCTTACCTCCGTTTCCAGGAAGACCCCTGGCCATCCATTGAACATCAAGAGTCTTATGCTGGCAGGGAACCAATTGAAGAAGGTGCCGATACTTAACGGGATCCCACTTCAGTATCTGAACCTGGACGGGAATCTCATCTCCAGCATTGATGCAGGGGCCTTTGATTCGATGACAGAGCTGGTTCACCTGTCTCTTAGCAGCCTGTCTGACCTGACCCTCATCCAACCAGGTGCTTTTAGAGGTTTGAAGAACCTTCAGGTCTTAGACTTGTCAAACAACAGCCGGCTCAAGACGTTGAGCCCGGATGTATTTAGTGGACTCGTCTCTTTACAAGAGCTCAATTTGTCCAATACTCCTGTCACACCATTATCAAGGACCGTCTTTACACAGATGCCAAGCATAAAGAGCATAACTTTAGGTCCAAACGTGCATTGCTGGAAGACACACAAGCAAGGACAGTTTCACAGACAGATTGGACAAGCCAAACCTAATGATATACTTACCTGTGACAACGCAGGAATGATCTTATGAGCCTGAAGTGCCAGGAAAGACTCCTTTTCTCATCTCTGTGCCTTGTTTGTATCTCATAAGATCTTTTATTTTTTGTAATTCAAGATCGCATCATATTTGCACATACTATGCCAACTAAGGTCCATTATTTTACATGTGTTCATCACATTTAAGCACGCACAGTACATCACAATGACTCATGCACTTTAGTTACCACATTTCTGTTCTTCTACTTAATATGTAACCTGAGATTTGCGGTGTGATGTCAGCTCTGATGTGATGTTTTTTTGTTAAACACTAACAGTCTTAAATGTTTGTAACAAACACTTTGTACAAACACACCAGTGTCGCATGTCAATTTAGAAGTCGTGGTGCCTTAAATTGTAATTCATTTAGTAGTAAGTATTTTGGAATTATATGTTTCTAATGTTTGGATGCCCCCTTATGATCAATTTTAAATGACTGATGGGCAATAAAATTTGGCGCGTTTAATTTAGGTGTTTTACATGGTTTAAAATGGGGCATTTTTGACTGAAGCACAAAGGATAAAATACAATGTGGAATTTAAGAATTTAAATGTAATTTATTAATATGTCAGTGAAAAGTTTTCCTAATACTGAACCTAAAATATAATTTACAAACTACAAAATATTTTATTCTACACATCACTCAGACTGATACTTGACTGAAATGTAACATTAATGAGTTCACATCTCTTTATAATTCCTAAATCGTCATTTCACAGACATTTACTTGATCTGAAATTTTGCACTTTTTATGAGATTTGTATGGATTAAAAACAAAAACAAAAAAACGCATGATGATTGTTCATCATGTGAGCTGAGGTATGTTTTATGTTTGTACAAAATTATACTCCTAATAAAAGATAATCAACTTTACACATAACTGTGTTTGTGTTCAATCTTGTGATTTAATGCTCATTTCTCTAAACTGTATCAAAACTTCCAAAGTTAAGCCAGGGCTGACGTGTCTTTCGGCACAACTTTCTGAGTCACTCGGTGCATTTAGTCATAATGCAGGCCTCGCTAATGTGGTTCTCTTCAGTTTAACACACTCAGACAGCCATGATTTGTTTATAAAAAAAAAAAACACCCAGTGTTTTATCCCACACTTTTTTTTACAAGAATAAGGCATTATCCATTAGTGCATTTAGTCATAATGCAGGCCTCGCTAATGTGGTTCTCTTCAGTTTAACACACTCAGACAGCCATGATTTGTTTATTAAAAAAAAAACACCCAGTGTTTTATCCCACACTTTTTTTTACAAGAATAAGGCATTATCCATTCTCTCAGACTAACCATGGACAGCAGTTTTAGGCGAACAGAAGACTTGATGGCTGAATTGGAACAGATGACTTCAGCCTGCGAGGCTTTAGGCTTGTAGGCCTCACAGGCCAAGTATTCATATATCCCCTTAGCTGCTCTGAATTATTGCCAAGATCCAGCTCTTTGAAATTCTAGGAGACTAATGCCAAAGACACATCCCCCTCTTTTCTACACAAAAGCTTAGTGGAGAAAAAAAAGGTTTACTTAACAGCTAAACTTTCTCTTCATCACTTTTGCGCTCTCTGCCATGCTCAGGATAAATAAGTCATGTAAATAAACGTGGGCCAAAGAGGAACAACAGTCAAGAACAAACAGTCAATGAATGTTATCATGAAATCCTTCAAAATAAACTAGTTTAGCATTTCCTGAAGGAAATACCATTGCTGTACGGCAGCAAAAGAATAGCTTTAGTTCTGTGTAAATAAGAAGACCAATCACAAATTAGTATGCAAGTGAATAAAAAGAAAATATGAGACCAATTGCAAACCAGATTAGGGAGGGTTCACGTGTTTTTTCACGTGCTTTTAACATGTGCAACATTCAGACGTCCATCATGCATGTTTACATAGAAAAACTGCAGACGCTACATCGCACGCTTTTAAACAAAAACGCGTTCTGTGCGAATGATAATAATATTGCTGCTAATTTCGAAAGATTAAGATTCTAGCAATCTATTTTAATAGAAGATATTCAATGTTTATTCTTACATTCTTTGAAAAATGATAGCTTATACAAAGCAATAAGGAGGAGTGGTTGATTTCTTATTTGTTGACATTGGTAAGTCAACTGTACTGCACTGACCTACTTAACAAATCCAAACAAACCAGCATTAACCTTTACTGTTCTGTTAACATTGTACATGGTCACAATGAATTGCTAAATTTGATTTAGAACAGACGCTGCTTATCTTCCTTGCCTTTCATGAGCCTCAACTTGCCTTACATGTGAGAGGTTGTACTAGACATGATGATGTAAGCAGTTATGGGACACAGTTCATTGGGTTATGAACTACAGTGAATTCTCCTACTTGTGTGTACTATACTGCATGTAAGCCATCATAAATCTATTAGTGTCTCATATCACTTGCTCTCACTTTAGATAAGGACAGAAATGAAATGGGCCTTAGGTGAACCATCTGATATGGCATAATCAATCCAAGCCACAGTTCATTAGGGAAAGAGCCAATGTTGACATGAAAACCCTAAAAAATCTCAGTCTCCACTTGTAAACACCAACAATGTTAAATCCTGTAGTCTTAATAAACTCTCTCAACCAGATTCCCAGTGTCCAGTTAATTCAAGGCTAAAAGTTCAATATTTATTGCTAGAGCAAAGACAATGGCCCAATGCCAAACACCTGATGCAAACTAAAAGCGAAAGAGAATCGATACAGAACGAGCAATCACATTTGAGTCAGATTAAAAGGGTTCAGTGCCTGGAACCAACACAAACAACAATGGAATGAAGCCAGAAAAATGCAGCCATGGTCACATTTCACCTATGAAAATCTCATGAATTTTTCATTAGAAAAGCATTCTTACAATGTGCTATACTAGTGCTTATTTCAGACAGTGTGCTGCTATTGATTTCCATTTCGGATTCAGAAAAAAGTTTGAGAGACAAAATATGAAATCTATTTCATAGTTGCAGGTTTAAAATTACAGTCTTGCGCAGAAAAACTGCACTACACACGCACATAAAACAAGCCACATGATCCACTCCAACTTCTTGTTTTCATGCGATGTGTTTGATTCACATCATATGAATTCATACAAAATCCCCACCTCGTAATATTGTTTTTATTTCTCAGGAGATCAGGTTGTGTACACAGTACAAACAAATTAAAGTTCTCATGTGTTTCTTCGAATAAACAAAGGCGGGCCTGTAATTATTCTTGGCTGATATCTAGTTGACCAAGCTTTTTATAAAAAAAAAACACCCCATAAAAAGCAAACAACATCCTTCTCTGGATTTCACATCCTTAAAACAGTGTTTTTCCCTCCTCTAAATATTCTCTAAAGTATGGAAGCCCATTTCTGCCACATGAATAAAAAAAAAAGTAAGTGCAACATTTTAATCTCATAATTCAGACTTTTTCCTCACAATTCTGACTTTTCTTACAATTCTGACAAAAATTCTTAGTTTACATCTCACAGTTTTTTTTGTTTCCAACATTAAAAAAATGAAAAAAGGTAACTGCGACTTGTAAATTTCACTTGTAAAGTTTTTCCGCGATTCTGAGAAAATAGGATATAAGCTAAATTTGATATAAAGTCATATATATTATGATATAAACTCAGAACTGAGATATAAACTTGTAATTCTAAAAAAAAAAAAATCTTGTAGTTCTGAGGGTTTTTTCTCTTAATTATGAGTTTATATCTCACAATTAAAATTTTTGATAAAAATGTCTGAATTGTGAAATAAAAAGTCACAATTACGGTTTAATTTTTTTGGGGGGGGTTTTCCATACTTGAGTGTGTGGCAGTGCACAGAAGTTTCATTCTCAAGTTGCTGCTGGAGTCACGCACAGTACAGTCATCTTCATTCCCTTTTGTTAAAGACCCACAGTCTCACAGTATCAGTCAGAAAACCAGCACAATAGAGGCTTTCTCACTGTAACACTGCGTGCAAGAGAAAAGCTTTATTGTGCACCAGAATAGACACACCAGGCTCTGTGTTCACACGTCACACTCAACCGGGTTAGTGTTTTGTGTCAGAACAGAACATTTGATGTAGCTAAACTCCCTTGAGAGGTGCTGACCACCTAATGATGTTTACATTCCATGTAATGCATTAGTGCAATACCATCATACACTTGTCATTTTTTGCATACCTCTGCAGCATGGATTCAAGAAACCTCAGAGGGCCTGTTCTCATCACTAGAGAAAAAAAAGAGCCTTGTTGCATATTCAATGAAGGCTGAGGACGTGCCTACGGAGTAATCTGATCATGGAGCAATCTGTACTGCCAAGAAACCATTCTTTCTTGGGACTGAACCATTCAGAGGACACTAATCTGCCTTTTCATTTGTGAACAAAAATGATTTGTTCAGTACATGGCTTTGAGCTTAGCAAATTCCTTTGTCCTGTATGACACTGTATGCATCAAAAACATGGCCAAAATCGCCATTTATTCAATTATACACTGTTGTTTGCTCCTGAGCACAGACCTGTGAGTGTTTGCTTTTACTTATCTGCTTTAAGCCATGTGGGTTGACAAGCACGCACTCATTCCTGGGTGGTCAATGTCCAGTTTCCTGTTTTGACTGATAACAATAAAGACTGAATATCAGATTCACTTTCAGACCTGTAAAAGGGACGTTTACAAAAGTTCTTCTGCACGTACAAGCTTATATTAATATGACTCAACTAAATGGTTAAATGATACGTTAGCACTTGCGTAACTTAGGGTTGGTGTTGTACCACGGGCTTTCGAAGAAAAACAGACATATCCTGAGATTGTAAGCCCACACTGACGTCCTACACATCTGGTTACCATTAAGGTCTGTTGACTCAAGTTACTCGCTGCAGGAAACAATCGCACAGCTCAAAGGAACCTTCTGAGGGAGTCTCCCTTTGCCAAAATGCTGCCCGAGCCTCATTTGTTGCTTCAAGTGATAGTTCACCCAACATTGTAAATTCTAAACCTGTATGACTTTCTTCTTTAGAACAAAAAATAAGTTGTTTTGAAAAAATCTTTCCATATTACAGTTAATGTGCACATTTGTCACATAAATAACAGAATACAGGTTTGGAACGGCATGAGGGTGAGTAAATAATGACAGAATTTTCATTAAACATTTGATTGGGTTCTACTCAAAGGATCTCAATCTGAAACCTTTAACTCTGCAACCTTAACATTCAAGGCTCCTTTCTAGGTCATATGAATTTGACTTGTTTTAGAGATCTCGAAAGTAAATTTATCAAGTGTAATGTATTGCATATCAAGACAATGTAAAGATCATTTGTCTTAAAGAAACAGAGCAGCAGCAGCAGGTTCTGTTTAAACTTGGCTTTTATCTGCAGCAGCTGTGTAATTGCCTGCACATGCCCCTTTTTGCCTCAACCATAGTACAGACTTCCCAGCAAACTACTGAGAAACTATTTTACTTTGAGCACCACCTTGTGGCTACAGCAGAATTATAAGAAAAATATTTATAGGCCCATTCTATATTTTCTTAATGTCTTTATTTTTCCTTTTTTTCTTCTCACATAAATATATCTTATTTTAAGGATATTCAGATTTGAAGAATCTGATTCTATTTTTAGTATTAAAATACTATGAAAATGATTATTGTTATTAGTAATAGTAGTCGTAGTATGGTAATACAGTCTAAACAGCATAAACATCAACAGAAAGAAAATGAAATATCGACTGCATTAAAATAAATACATAAATAAATAAAAAATTGGGGGAAAGCCTTTTATACCTGTTCTTGGTTGTTTAATTTCCTTCCCAAAGTGCCCAATGCAAAATTTGCAATATCACAGCTGGACAGACCACATAATCACATTACAAGTAAATATTCACATTTTAGCAACGTTAGTCTATCTAGATCCCAGCATTTGTGTCCTAGTTTCAGTCCAGTTATAATGGAACGTCAACAGAGAGAATTCCCTACTCCAGCAGGAAATATATGATAGAGGTTTCCCGACTTTGTGGCGAGCTTGCATTTCCTTCCTCAAGTAAATGCTTACAATACTGCTGGAGTTGCCAGATGAACCGCAATTAAACGGAAAGGGGAGTCAATTTTCCTGCAGTGAATAAAGAGAGTGGGTGTTTACGGAGCTAGGAAGAGTTTAGAAGAACTTAACGTACCTTTTTGTTGTTCTGCCCCGGAGACTTGACTGAAAAGTCGGCTGTTGACTGTAAAACTCTTCCAAATCTGTTCGGTGGCTGCAAGGACATTCGACAGATAGTATGGAAATAGTATAAAGGATGAAAAGAGCTTACAGGTGTTCCTTGACGTTACTGCCATTTTTGTGTATCGTAAAAGGTAAGTCACTTCTCAAATTCACCGTTAAAGCGGCTGCACTTTCAAAAGCACTTAAAATTGATGTTTATTTTCATGACTCTAAATAATGTTTTAGTATTGTAAACATTCACATTTCCTTTTAATGCTGTCGTGTTATGGTTTCCGGTTTATTTGAATATTTTGTACAACTTATATATTTCTCGTAAGTCACTTCAAGGGCTCCATAATAAGACAGTTTGTACAAAGTCCAAAAGTGCTTTGTGTAACTAAAAACTCAACTCGCTTGTTTTATTCTCATTTCAGTATGTGAACTGTGCTCATCTGTTCGAGCAAGTCGTGCTACAAAGTTTGTGGCGGAGGGCTGCAGTCTCCAGTTGAGCTGTGAAGTGCAACACTGTGGGCTTGCTGGCTGGACTGGAGGATGGGTTTTCCAGGAACTGGACACAGTAGGATTTACTTCCCTCATTCCCTCTGAACGAATCGAGATGTCCAGTTCCAGCTCAACAGCCAGTAGCACACATCTGTTATTCCACATTCACAACATCAACCAGTCAGATGCTGGAGCATACAAGTGCTTGATATCCTGGCCTCAGAATATCACTAGCAGTGGACATGTGACATATGTTAATGTGACTGCAGGTATATACATATGCATGCTGTTGGTTTGAAATAATACATTTTTTTGGTTTCATAATTTGCATACAGTATATTGCTAAAATGAGAAAGTATCTATCTTTATTTTTGGCCAGCAGCAGCAGCAGACTCATCAGGCAGAAGCATCTCTCATAGAGTCCTGCTTTGTTTTGGTGCCTTGATGTGTTTTCCTGTTGTTTTGGGATTTGTTTGGTGTCTCACCCGGGATCATCATCCACCACCACCCCCTGTCCCGCCTCGCCCCCGCACGTCCTGTAAGATTCAACTCCATGTTCTGCAAATATGTCATACAGTTTAAATGATTAATACATTTAATTAAAATTAATAAATATAATTTACATGTAATTTTTTATTTAATCTAAAATTTTAATTATAAAAATATAAAATTCTGATTTTTAAAAAAAAAAGTACTTTTCTTGTTCTAGTTGCAGCTAGAGTGAAACCAAAAAAGGACGTAAGTATCTCAGTACATTGTGTGTTTTGATAAGAATCTGATTTGTTTAATCAGTCAATATGGTCAATTTCTTTACTTGTCATTATTTGTGCAGTTGGTGTATGCAGAAGTTGCAGTGAACGATTCAAGGTGGCAGAATGATCATCCAAAACAAGTGTCTGAGCCAACTGTCTATTCCTCTGTGCATTTCTCCTGAACACAAAAACATCTTGCATTTCAATCTCTCATGTAGCTGTGGGTTATTTTCAATACCAGAGCAAATATGACTGTAAACATAGTGGCAGTACAGTTGCAAAGTTAGACAACAAGATTGAAAAGATATCAGCTTGACTTTGAAATGTGAATGCTAGCAATGTTACACTTTGATTTAATATACAGTAGTTGTAAAGCCATATTAAATGTTGTTGTGCTTCCAGATATGACTGTACAATGTGTGCATTTTGTATATAAAACGTGTGGTTGTACCTGAAATAAAAGAAGACATATCTGAGAAAATTGCATTGGACTCCTATTTCAAATGTTTTTCACAACAGACTGGTATTTGACACAAAATACATTTTATTGTTTATAATAAATTCTTAATGGCACATGCCATAACCAAATATACATATACATAATCTTTTACATTATTTTTATTTGACTCTGTGTATTTTTTTTTTTACGTAACATCAACAGTTTTTAAAAGCAATAAATTATGGCAGTACAAACATATATGCCAACACGTTTTATGGCAAAGTTTGGCACTATTGTACAAGAATATTTAACTCGCTCTCTGCAATCTAATGCCCTCACTAATGAGTACGGCTGAAAACTAACAACTGAATCATGAGGAATAAGGAGAGACACACATATGTAAATAAATAACATAATTTCCAAAGAAAATCCTTCAAAAATGATTCTGCCAGCCATAATTGAATAACAAAGCATTTACAAAAAAAGGACCTTTTTGTACATCCACAAGTCTGAAAGTAAGAAAAACCATGTTTATGTGTCTGTGCTTTCTCAAGTGTGTTTGAGAGCTCAAAATGAAATTTATTAAAGTATATAATTTCATTTTTTAAGTTCAATTGTACAAATATATCTGTTCAATAACATTGGTGTTGAACAAATATACTGAAGTCTTTATTTAGAGAAATAAATATACGCTGAAATGAACAGACAGATTTTACTTAAAAAATATAATAAAATGTGTCTTCGCCATCCATGAAATATGTTTTTTTGTTCAAACCTTTCCCCTTTACCACAAATAAACCATGGCAATCTTCATCTTTGGTTACCCTCAGGAAAGGTGAATTCGACCTTTTCACATCACTCAAAAATAACAGAACTCAGTCTTCAGCAGAGCATAGTTCTCTATAGCATTTTAAGGCTTACACTGATGGGCGATGTGTTACAAGACTCAAAACGACCCGTAATCTCTGTAAAAGACTCAGCACAGTACAGGAGCTTATAATGCTATTTTGTAGTCCGTATCTCTTGTAACATTTAATGACTGAGAACTCTTCAAGTATTTCAAGTGGCTGTGTTAATATTGAGCATCTGTCTAGAAAGCAATTGCAGTTAGGCAAGGATAGTTTTCAACACTTGTTTGAGCACTACATTTAAAATGTTGGAAAAACAGAGACATTTGTTGCTTTTTCTACTAAGACTGGCGTTCATTTCTGTCCTCTGAACCATTTTTGTGTGTTTGTAGGATCAGTTCTTACAATAGTGTTCAGTTGTGTATTATGTTGGAGAGTGATAACTGTTGCATTAGCAAGAGAAAATGGTCCCTTTTTCCTCCAATCTATAAAAATCCATTCAAAGTCACTGCCTAGAAAGACAAAGAACAGACACACTGGGTAAACTATGGTACTTTTAAAAGTCCACAGATTTAATAAAGTACATATAAAATTCAAATGGGGATGAGTGAAACCCTTTCTTTTCTTTTTGATCTGACACCAAGTACTATGTAGAGCCACTATTTCTCACATATATATAAAAACAGCTAAATTTATATTTTTTAATGTAATTTTAATTAATTTTGTTATGAGCTTTTTGTCATTTTATTAGTTTTTAATATTTCTATTAAGTTTTAATTTATTTTTAATAAATATTTCTAAAAAATAAAATAACATAGGCCTATATATATAAAAAAAAATTGTTTTAGTCATTTTAGAACTCAAAACTTGTTTCAGTTACTTACCAAAACAACATTTCTTAATTTGCAAGTTTATGCGTTTCATTTAATATTTATTATTTATCTCTTTTTTTTTATTTTAGCTTTATTTCAATTAACAAAAACTATTTTGTAATAGTTTTAGTTCATAGTAACAACACAGATGAAAATCCTTTGTGATTTCTTAGAAAAAAAGGTAATTAATTTAGCACCATTTAACATTCCATTATTAGCATTAAAAGGGGCTAAACTGGAAATGATGACTCATTTATTGATTTATTTATTATTATTAACAATATTTCAGTATTTCTACTTGTTCTGATGAGTAAAAGGAGAAATAGTTATTATTCTTTCTATACTGTATATACTGTACTTTCTAACAAAATTCATTTTTTCACTTCAAACCTTGATTCGCATTCATTTTTATGCGAAATAATTAAAATGTGATCAAATTTTTTATATTTATTTATATTTATGATTTATATTTTATGCAAGTTTGTATTTCAAGATGTATCTATACCTAGCTTAAAGATATGTAAGTACAGTAATATGCAAAGTACCTTTTGTCCATGCAGTGGCTTCTGTCTGACCTAATGACCCTGAAAGAAAGGAAAATGATTATTCTAGTGAACGAATTCCAATCTCATTATTCAGTTTACAAATGGAATCAAATGCACTGTTACAGACTTATAACAAATGCACTTGCACTTCAAAAACAAGAGTAACATACACACTGTTATCATTTCAACATAAAAAATGTGTCTTTCTCTTTATTTATTTATTCCTTCCCTTTCTAGCTTGTACTTATTTGAACAATGCCTAAAACTTGGTATCACAAGCACTTTCTGTGTCTGTTTGCCTCTTTAAGAAGAATCACTTTATGTATTCCCCAATTGTAAGTCGCTTTGGATAAAAGCATCTGCAAAATGACTAAATGTAAATGTAAACATCTGCATTGTTGATAATCTGATCTACTATAAAACAACCGACTTTGAAACCGATTTCAAAATACGCCCAGTCAATATGAAAGGTTATTCGAGAACACAGTACTTACAGTGGAGTGGCTCAGTTTGTCAAAGCGGAATTTCAAGTTTGACCTTGGTGAAGTTTTGTTCTTTCCATCTAAGAAAAACAACAGGCGAGTTATTGTTTTTGTGCCAAGTGCAAGCATTTGTGTGTGCATGCAAGTATACTCATGTTTATGCACATCTCATAGCCACAAATACTGTATGTGGACACCACCTTTTAACTGACAAGTCAGACTATTTTAAATGCGAGTCTGACTATTTCAACTATTACCAATTTCCTATTAATGGTTTTAATGAGAAATGTTCAACAAGCATATATGGGTCTGTTTTTTTTAGGGGTTCAATTACTTTTAGCCAAATACTTGTTTATTTTAGTTAACATTTTTAACATTCTAATGTTCAACATTTCAAATTTTCAAGTAATAGTTGACTCAAAAATAAAAATTTGCTGAAAATTTTGTCACCCTCAGGCCATCCAAGATGTGGATGAGTTTGTTTCTTCATCTGAAGAGATTTGGAGAAATTTAGCATTACTTCACTTGCTCATCAATGGATCCTCTGCAGTGAATGGGTGCCGTCAGAACGAGAGTCCAAACAGCAAATAAAAACATCACAATTATCCACAAGTAAACCACAAATCTTCAGTCCATCATTTAATGTCTTGTGAAGCAAAAAGCTGCATGTTTGTAAGAAACAAATCCATCATCACATTTTTTATTTCAATCCGTTGCTTCCGTAATATCCATAATATTACATTGTTCAGTAAAAAAGTTGTCACATCTGAATCAGTAGAGAAATATGCACAGATCAAGCACCATACAAGCAAAAACAGTTCTAAACAAATATGCTGGTGATCAAGTGATGTAATGCTAAATTTATCTAAATCTATTCCAATGTAGAAACAAACTCATTTATACAAACCAAGTGTGAGTGCATTTTCAGCAATTTTTCATTATTGAAGTTTTTCAATATTTATTTTTTATTTTATTTATATTTACAGCTTTATTGCAATTACAGAAAACAGTGTTCTAAAGAGCTAAAGATGAAATAGTTCCTATCCTATTTCAACTATTACCGATTGCTTATTAATGAAATATGTTCAACAAGCACATGTGAGTGGTTTTCAGGTGTCCACTTACTTTTGGCTGTGCAGTGTATGATTGCTTCAATTTATTTTTATTGTGTATGATTGCTTATTTCACCTGTGGGACTGCGGCACATGATCAGTGGCGTTCCAGAGGTCTGGCTTTCCACGCTGAGAGATGGACTGTACACAGATGAAGCCGTGGAGGGGTGACTGCTCTACAGGACACAACACACAGCAAATGACAGACTGAGTAATCTGCAGAGGTAATGGTAATACTAGTACCATCATCGCTATAGATTGTCCTAGAACTAGCTGTACAGCAGTAATTAGGTATATCGACAAATGTCAGGCTTACTGAATCAATGCAAAGGGCCATTTAGTGTGTGACTGCAAAGCAGCTGTGTACAGGAAGTTTCTGAAGCATAATTGAATTGTTTTCATAGTGAGCTTATCTGAGGTGATTATCTACAGGAGCTTTGAAAGGGAAAGAAACACACTGCAAAAAAAAAATTTCTTAATCATTTTGTCTTGCTTTCCAATTTAAAAAAAACACCTAGACGTGACTCAAGCATAAGTGAATTTTTTCACAGTGAGCTTATGTGAGGTAATTATCTCAAGAGCTTTGCTAGAGTAAGAAACACACTGCAAAAATAATTTTCATAATCATTTAGTTGTTTTACAGCTTAAAAGAAAAATAGAAACATCCTTAAAAAAATCACTTACTTTTTTATTTTTTCCTTTTAAAACTCAGTTGTCAAAATGACAAACTTGTTTTAAGCATAAATTTCATTAAATGTTGTTAGGCTTACATTAAAACTAAATCATATATATATATATATATATATATATATATATAGGTAAATGATATTTTAAGGTATATTATATTAGGCAACTGTTATTTTAAACTGTAATAATATTTTCACATCTATCATATTATGATAAATAAATAAATGTATATATATTAAAAGTACTAAATATATATACATACATATATATATATATATATATATATATATATATATATTCCATTATATATGTATATATATTACATCATAAGATCTTGTGCAGTTTTGCTTCTCAAGTACTCAAGGTTTAAGGATGCTGAGATAATATATACTGTCACTGTTACTGAAATACTGTTGTTGTTTTTTTGCAGTGCATCTCTTGAATCTCAACAGAACTGTTCTGTGTGTGTGTGTAAGTGTGTGTCACCATTTCCAGGTCCTCCAGTCCGTCTCCCTCCCCTGCTGTGCTGCTGAAGCTGCTGGTGCTGGAGGAAGATCGGGAGATATTAGCTCTGCCGCTACACTCTTTCAGCTTCACAAATGGCCTGCAGGACCAAACCAACGGGACAGAGATTACACAACAGAAATCCAGTTTTTTGTTTACTGAAGAACTATGAAGGAGAAAGAAATACCCTTTCACATACATTGCTAAAAGTGAAGGTGCTGGAAAAGGATTTAAAAATAAAGCCCGACTACATATCTGATTCAGCAAATGTCAAAACACTCCAACACTGCACTCACATCTTCTGTACCTGAGGAACTCAAATTGAGAAACCAAATGCAACCCACCTTTCTTTGCTTGGGCAGATCTCTGGTGAACTCGGATTGGATGACGTCTCTGACCTCACATCCTGCGAGTGAGGTAACACTTCTGCTTTTTGGTCACTACAAAAACACAGAGTACAGTTTATGTAGTGCTTTTCTGAAATACTAATGCACAAAAAATGTACATACATACAGACAAACACATCATTGCTGAATTTTCAGCAGTCATTACTCCATTCTTCAGTGTCACACGATCCTTCAGAAATCATTATAATACACTGATTTGGTGCTCAATTATTATTGGTACTCGATTTTTAATATTTCCTATTATTATCAATGTTAAAAAGTTTTTGCTGCTTAATATTTTTGTAAAAACTGTGATACATTTTTCAGGATTCTTTGATGAATAGAAAGGTCAATGAACAGCATTCATTTGAAATATAATTTTTTGTAACATTAGAAATGTCTTTACTGTCACTTTTGATCCATTTAATGTGTCCTTGCTGAATAAAAGTATTAATTAATGTTGTTCTCCCTTTTTTAAATCATGCATACCTCGACTTTTGAATGGTAGTGTATCAGTTTTCACAGACACACACAAAATGTAAAGCAGAAAAACTTTTCAACATTGATAATAATGAGAAATGTTTCTTGATCAGCAAATCAACATATTATCATGATTTCTGAATGATCATGTGACACTAAAGACTGGAGTAATGTATAAAATTGTATGTATATTTGTTTACCTGCGAGATGGATGTTTCTCAGTTGGACTTTCTGTGCTGGAGTGCAGTCTGGGGAACAGACCAGAGCGCCGCTTTACTGGACTCTTTAATGGAGATTTTGCAGACAGCGCTGGAGGCTGACAAACACAAACACACAAAGCTCAGCTCTATAATAATAATACACTGGATGAGATAAGAATTTAATCTGAATAAATGAAAATAATGGAAGTACAGTGAAGGTGCTCTTGGTGCACTCCATGTTATTCTGCTGGAGTCCTCCACCGCTCACACTGGACGGGACCCCTGCCACCACTCCAGGACTCTTGTGTTTATGAGTCACCATCGTCTCCATAGAGTGGCTCCTCACACGCATGGCCCTCTGACAGAGACAGAGACAGAGGAAGAGGGTAAGAGAGGAACAGAAAATGCAAAACTGCAATAAGCATGATTACAAATATATTTGTATTGGCAAATAAAGAGAAATAAGAACGTATGTCACAGTTTAGGTTTATATGTGCATTATTTATATTAGCTGGTTAATAATTTATCTTAAATGACTTATTTTATTACTTTTATGAAAAAAAATTTTTTTTTATATTAGCCCTAAAACTACCCATAATAAAGATGATGGAGTTTGAAAAATGCAATTGTATTAACATGAACAACCAGTAGGTGGAGCTACACACCAGCTTTATACTCAAGCCAAAGGTCAAACAAAGGTTAGAAAACACTATTCTATTCTACTCTATATTTATTTTTTGTCACATTTATATTTTTTGCTTGTAAATTTACAAACTTTGCCACTTAAAAACATTTAAAATATAAATTTTATAATATAATATAATCATTTCTTCAATATGAAATGTTACCCTTTAAAAAAGTACAAACAATCTACGAAATAATCTGGGAGTCTTGTGTTGTTGTATGCATGTTTAATGTATTGTTTAATGTGCACTGGTCATCTGCATCAGTTCGGCTTGGTAATGATACACAGTCACAGCTGCTACACAGATCAGCACTGCAGTGTATGTGTGTGTCTGCAAACCACCCCTCACACACCTCCACCCTGCCTGAAAACACCCACACACAGCAAAACCATGCATATTTGTCACTAACACACACACAGGCCTTCTTAGAACTTAGTCCAGAGCATATTCAGACAAACAGAATCATATGCACACAGACAGACAGACAAGTAAACAGGAAAAGTTTTGGGTTTAAGTCTCTTATGCTCAACAGGGCTGCATTTATTTGAAAACCTGTCAAATGAGTAATTTTGTGAAATATTATTACAATTTAAAATAAATGTGTTCTGTTCTAAAATATTTTTAAATGTATTTTATTCCTGTGATGGCAAAGCTGAATTAGTCTTCAGTCTTCAGGGTCACATGATCCTTCAGAAATCATTCTAATATGCTGATTTGCTAATCAAGAAACATTTCTTATTATTACCAGAGTTGAAAACAGTTATGCTGCTTAATATTTTGGTGATACATTTTTTCAAGATTCTTTGAGGAATACAAAAGAACAGCATTTATTTGAAATAGAAAGCTTTTGTAATATTATTATCTTTGCTGACACTTTTTATCAAGTTATAAATATCAATTGAGAATACTTCACTGAATAGAAGAAATGCAGAGAGCAACATCATTCAGTAAAATCTTTAGTTCTCTGGGTTTTTAAGTGGTCAAGGACAGGACATCTCACCTTAAAAGACTCCAGCAGCCCTCCATGACCTCCATTTTCTAGCTTTTCTTCATCTGTAGTTGATCCCAGTCCTACTGTGGCCAGTGTCTGTCTGTGCAGTTCATCGTGAAGGTTATCTAACAGTGCTGCCCGTGTCCTCTCCTGTCACACACACACACACACACACACACAGAACGACAGATGATAATGCAGATAGGCTAATTAAAGCAATGGTTCACTCCAAAATGAAAACTCATTAGTAAATAATGATAGAATATTCATATTTTGGGGGATTATTCCTCCAAATTAATTGTTTATAGTGAATCGTGGATCTCTGGATTTTTTTCTCACCTCTAGCTTGGCAAACTTGTCTGACTTGCAGCATGCATTTTCTGCGTTGATCAATTTTGTCAGGAGAAATTCCCGGAACTCGGGACCCTGGGAAAGAGTTGATCTCCATCATCTTATGATACAAGTCATCATCTCCTTCAACATTTAACGGAAGCGATCTTCTATATTACCTTCTTAAAGACCGCAGGGTTTGGAAGAGGGGGGCCGAACGGAGGGACATCTTCTCTGGCTGTGACGGACACCTGTGAACACCGATCGATACCTCAGATCAGTGGGATTGATGGGATTGATGGGTCTCTGGAGTAATTCAGTGAGGTGTTCGACAAACCTTGTACGTGGTGTGATCAGTGCAGGGGTTTTCTGCCTGCACTAACACGTAGGCATGAAGGAAGTTGGATGCGATCATATCAGGAACGAATGGTGTGGGCTCTTCCTGGAAGACGGCTGCGACAATGTCATTGCCAATATGTCTCTTCCTCTGGAGCTGAGAGAATATGACACAAGCGGAAAATATTTATAAATATTTTAAATGTAATGGATTTGCCAACACAATTTATAGTCAAGATAAACATACAGGGATTATATTTAAATATAGTTTATTTTATTTTATTTAAATTTTTCAATTTGAAATTAATTGAATTTAATTAAATAAATTATTAATTTATTTATTTTTTGCAATGTGAATTTCATTAAGTACATTTCTCCCTAATTTTCATTTTATCTCCATAAAAGGGTTAGGGTTAACACAAAATATAAATAAATAAATAAATCATGGTAGTATCTTACTTAATTCTTTGATTAATACAAATTTATCAAAAAATGTATAAATAAAAAACACTGTGTTTAGAATTGCAGTCAGGAAAATGTGATATATATTTTATGTCTATTACAGCAATTTAGATTTTGTACATTTCTCCCTATTTTTCATTTCATCTCCACAATTTTACCGCTGGGTTAGGGTTAACACAAATAAACAAACAAATAAATAAATAAACAAATATATAATGGTAGTATCTTAATTCATTCTTTGATTAATAAAAATTGATCAAAGAATTGATTAATAAAAAATGTGTTTAGAATTGCTGTCAGGATTTTTTTTGTCCATTACAGCAATTTAGATTTGGAAGGAACATGTGCTTAACTGTGAAGACAATATTTTTTTCTTGTTGATTTTAGAGTGAAATATGAATACAAAGAGTGTATAAAATCCTTGACAAAAAAAATTACAATAAATAATAAATAACTACAAAATATTTAAATAATAGATATTCATTTGATTTAAAAAGTTTAAGTTAAATAATATTTTAAAATAATTTTAATTATTAAACATTAAAAATGGAAACACACCTGCTGAATGTCTCCTTCTGTAAAGGGGAGTTTTGTGGAAACGTGAAACATGATTTCTCTCTGACGGAACGTGGTATACACAGACTCAGATCCAGTCTGCCCATGAGACACATCCAGACCGCCTCTGAACCTGAGCAGCACAATATCACACACACCAGTCAAATTAGCTCTGCAGAAGTGCTGCTTAGGCAGATCAATCTGATTACCGTGAGCAGACTTCCAGTCAAAATCACACAATGACTAAATGAAATAAATTATTCACAAATGCACTCTTTGAATATTGTTTATTGTTAAAACAAGCCTTTTATGAGTGCGCAGGTGAACCTTGGCAGCAGTTTTCAAAGCTTAATCTCCATCTCTCACCCTTTAAAATCCTGCAGTTCAATATTGTCTCCTAAAACACTGAGGAATTCAGTAAAGGCTGGCGTCTCCTCATTGTTCCCGAACAGCCTTTCCTCTGTCGTCTGATGTGAAGAGACAATCCCAGTGGGAAAAAGAGAGAGAACTTCAGTGAAAGTATGTACAATGAGGACAACAGCTCAAGACTGACTCTCACCTGACCAAACTTCTGATAGATGACTCCAAACTTGAAAGTGTTGTTCACTTCGTGCTCATCAAAACTGACGATCATTTGCGAGGCCTTGGGCGAGAGAAAACAGAAAGTGAGCGAAAGCGCCCGCAGGGGTAAATATGTGTGTCAGTGCCTTTCCATAATTCAGGCGTTTGTGTTTGCCATGCCTGACAGACCATGCAAAGCCTTGAGATGGTCAAGGCTCCTCTCAAACACACTATGTGGCTCAGGCATGCCAGGCAGTGTAAAGCAGATGGATTTGTGACTCCCCCGGAGCACGGGAACATATTAATTCAGATGACTTGGGTACTAGGGTGAAACGGAGCAAAGCCCAGCCCTAATTTCACCCTGATGCCTGGAGTAGGTAAGTCACAGATGGAGTGAGAAACACAGAAATGCTCACCCTAGGGTAGAGGACGGGGTTGAACTTCAGACCGGTGACATCATCGCAGAGCAGCTGAAACACATAGGACATAACTGATGTGAACATCTCGCATCCTTTGAGTGGATTGAGGGAAGTTCAAAAGAGGTCTGCTGAGTACTTGAAGTCTTGAGATACTTTGTGAGACAGACTTTTTTTGAGAATTTGAGTCCTCATACACTTTAAAAGTTTGACTGCAGGCCTACATAATGTGATTGTAGTCTATAAAGATGCCTTCATCAAATTTTTTTTTTAAATAAATACTGTTCTTTTCAACTTTATATTCATCACAGAACCCACAGGGCCAGTATATATATACAATGCAAAAAATTTGAATTAAAATAAATGCATTTTTAATTTACAAAAACATTTTTTTTTTTTATAAATCCTGTTCTTTTCAACTTTATATTCATCACAGAATCCTGAAAAAAGTACCACAGTTTCCACAAAAAATTAAGCATTAACTTTTTTCAATATTGATATTAAGAAATGTTTCTGTAGCTCCGAATCAGCATATTAAAATGATTTCTGAAGTATCACATGACACTGAAGACTGAAGTAATGATGGTGAAAATTTAGATTTTCCATCACAGGAATAAATTAAATTTTAAAACATATTACAATAGAAATCAGTTATTTTTTAACATATTATTTCACAACATTTCTGTTTCTACTATATTTGTGATTACATGCAACGCAGCCTTGGTGAACATAAGAGATGTCTTTCAAAAGCATTTAAAAATCTTGCTGACCTCAAACATTTAAACAATTGTGCATATAGCACTTCCTATTTTCTATAAATTAAATATTTGCTTGGATGTGTAAAGCTAACTTATACATGTTCTAGATTATTAGACATTAAGGTCACAGAAAATGTCTCTTAAGTCACTGACAGTTTTGCACACGTTTCTTATGATCCTAAAGACTGTTTCATTGAAAAGTTGTTATTAAGCCAATAGACAGTTTTGATTTGATTTGATGCTATTTAATAGCATTGACTTTGGTCTGGTGCTGCATATCTTGCCAATACACACCTTGGCTATCTGTGGTACGCTGGGTAGATGTAGGAGGCCTTCAAGTGGGATTCGCTCATGAAGGGTCTTTGTTTTTGACCTAGAAAATGACATAAAAAATAATTACTCAGCTATTTACTATGACAATACAGACCTACCTAGCAATGACTATACCATATATAGTTTCAATATGTGCTGAACATGGCACCTGAGCATGATGCGGAGTGACTCCTGTCCATCTGCCTCCTCATACTGCAGAGACATGATGAGGTGTCCCATACTACTGCCTGTGCAGTAATAGTTCATGTGCTCCTGAGAAAGAGAAAGGTGTTTCCACAGGCGTCATTTCACAAGTTCGTTCCTCAAATTTTTCGATATGGAGAGGTTCATTTTCCAGTAGACTGCATTTGCATTTTTATCACTCAAGTGTGGCTCTCTGTCAAGCTCTCTGTGACACACAACTGATACCAAAATGTGGCGTACAAAATGTTTGTTCAAAGAGGCGCCATCACACCTCGTATCCAAGTGTTATGAAGAACTGTGAGTGAATAAGCTTCGGGCACATGACATATTACCTCAGACAGGACACTTACTTTCAGCTAAAAGCTAAAATATCCTGGGCATACATGGGTATTTCTTCAAATATGGATACTTTTGCCCTGTAAACCTACAGTATAGAAATTAAACATACCGTCAGAATTAACAAAAGAATCCTCACCTTTCCCAGAAAGTGTTTGCGATAAGCCCGTGAGATGCTGTTACACTCCAGCCTGTAGCCTCCTCCTCCTCCTCCTCCTCCACCAGGACTCAGACCATCCTCCTCCTCCTCACAGAAGCTGCTGTCTGAGGACGTGGGCGTCCCGACCGGAGCCTCGGGATCCTCAATCCAATATCCACCAAACTGAGGTAAAATGACCTGAGGGTAGGGACCACCCTTCTCCAGGACCTAGACAACAAAGCCAAAAAAATAACATAAATGGTCAGCAAAGTCATAACTGGTTTTAATTATATATTTCAATTATACTTTATAATAATTTTTATTGTTAAATCATTCACAAGCCCCACAGATCTGCAACTATAATCTAACTATTGTACACACTTATACACACTACTTTTCAAAAATTTGGGAGTCTGTACAATTTTTAAATCTTTTTTTTTTTTAAATGCTCACCAAGGCTGCATTTAACCCTCTGGGGTCTGAGGGGGTTTTGGGGCCCTGGAGAAGTTTTGACATGCCCTGACATTTGTGTTTTTTCAGTATCTTAAAAACATATTAATGGCTAAAGTCTGATGACACTGTAATCAGCACAAACTGGGCTACAATAATATGTAAGAAGCATGAATGTACTTATTTGTGTTTTTGAGAAAACAATGTTTATGCGTGGTTAGTGAAAAACTCAATTAAAATTTTTAAGTCACTGAAATAAGGCCATAAAACACATACAGCATATTTGTTCACAAGACTTTTGAGAACAGGATGTTGGAGACTAGAATTTTTGCAACAAAATGATGTGAAAATCATCCTGTTCATTCATTCACAGAAAACAATACGCTGATTTAACTTTTGTAAGACGTGATTTGTGTTAGAAAGGCTGTATGCGAGGGAGTGACAATGGCCATGTTTGAAGCTCCATAAGATGTCATTTATTCCTGTGATTGCAAAGCTGAATTTTCAGCAGCCATTACTTCTTCAGTGTCACATGATCCTTTAGAAATTATTCTAATATGCAGTTTTGGTGCTTCTTATTATAATCAATGTTGAAAACTGTTGTTCTGTTTAATATTTTTTCTTAATATCTTGATGTATCTTTTTCGGGATGCTTTGATGAATAGAAAGTTCAAAAGAATGCCATTTATTTAAAATAGAAATCTTTTGTAACATTACAAATAAAATGTCTATATGAAAAATATTTTAATCAAACTTTCATTACATTTATAACTATTACCTGTTAACAAAAGCAATGCTGAAGTTATTAATGAAAGCTAATGGCTACCTATAAAACTATGGAAAAATAAATAGCACAGTGTATGAGATTTGTTGCCAGGGACAACAGTTTAGCAATCATTACACAAACATCTACATGCAGTGATTAACCAATCAGGATCAAGTATTCCAAAGAGCTGTGTAATAAATAGAGACAATCTGTTCCTTTCAGCCTTAAAACACTTGGAACATAATGAAAACCCTCTTGTGCTAAATTGCTAATACACAAACAAATTAATATAGAGTACATAGAACTATTGTGTTTAGAAGTATTGTGTGTGTGTGTGTGTGTGTGTACCTGGTATTTATTCCACAAGGATAGTAATACCAGTAAATTTTGACCTTGTGGGGACATTTTAGGTCCCCATGAGGAAACAAGCTTATACATCATACAGAATGAAGTTTTTTGAAAATCTAAAAATGCAGAAAGTTTCCTGTAAGCAATCCGGGGGTAAGGGATATAGTCATCCTGTAGGAGAGAAAAAGACATTTGATCATAGGATAGCATCGAAAAGTCAACCAAATGTATTACAGTCTGTTTATTGCAATAAAAACCCCCAAGGGCAGGATAGAGGAATAATATCTACACCAGAATATGACTGATAAAAAAATTATAATAAAATAACGGCAACAGCAACAAAAAAAGACATATTGATTATTCTCTGCTTGCATTCCAATAACCATATATTGGATTTAAAGGGTTTTATTCTGCTTTTGGTCTCTCTGGCAGAATCTGAAGGCCATCATCACTGACCTTTACGTCACCAAATGTAAAAAAGTACTTGATGTTGATTGATGCTGTAGAACTCAAGACTGTGGCTGATGTTTATCAGAATATTAATAGGGAAGAAAAGAGCCCACTCACAAACATACACTTACAGACACAATACACACACACACACACACACATTCACAATACCAGCCAAACCTTGTATTTCTTAGTCTCCTCAGTTTTGGGAATCTGCCGTGTCCAGGAAAGCAGAAGAGGGTGAAAAGAGAAAGAATAAATGACAAACTAAACAATAAACGCTGTTATTCAAATGAGCTCCCCAAATAAAGCAGCTCTGTTTACAGTTAATAAAACCTTCAGAACATTTTTGTCCTTTTACAAATTTTTATGACTGATGGCTAATATCAAGTTATTTTGTCAAAAACTGTGGTTACCATGCTAAAATAGTTTCCACCTGACAGTTCAGGAAAAAACAGTTGCCTTAGAGATAAATAAAGGAAGAAGCTCTTGTTCACTTGGAAACATTTGTAATGCTTGTTGTGAATCTCTACATCTGAATATTGCGACACCAATGACAATTATCTGTAACATGAATACAATGTCAGATATTAAATATAGCTGATATTTATCAACAATATTGCTAATCTCTTTATCTTAGCTGTTAAGTACAGAGACTGTTCTAAATGACATTACTAAAATTAAACAGATAATTTAAGCATAATTAAGATAATTAAACAAATAAAATAAAAATATAATATGTAAATTAATTAATAAAATAAATTGCATTTACATGGTAATTAAAAGTATTTTATTTATTTATTTAATTATGTAATATTTAAATTATTTTAAATTCATTTATATTAAAATGCTAATTAATTTCTAGTTTTAATGAAAAAAAAAATTTAAAAATCGAATAAAATATATATTATAAAATTATAAAAAAAATATATTATGTAAAATAAAAATATGTTTTATCAGATTTTATTTTAAAGTTTAAATTTGTGGGATTGTTTCCCTTTCATAAATATTAGGCATGAATTGTAACTATAAACTGAAAAAGAAAACTTGGTAACACTTTATTTTAAGGTGTCTATGTTACACAGGTTACATGTAATTACTATTATAATAACAATTAATTATGCATAATTACACGCAAGTAACCCAAAGACAAACCCTTATCTTAACCCTAACCATATAGTAAGTACACGTAGTTAATTAATATTACTCAGTACTTAAATGTATAATTACACTGTAACAATGACACCTTAAAATAAAGTGTAACCGAAAACAGGAAATGGTCAATTCCCTGGGCACTGTGCATGCTACAGAACTAGGGAGCTGACAAAGGCACACCTTCATCTTTGATCGAAAACATCACAAGTACATGTGATCCATTGGAGAGAGACATCAGTCCTTCAGACAAACCTTTGCATCGATCTGTCACTCATACTGAGGTCTGGACAAGAAGACCGAGGGCTTTAATCCTGCCTCAACATAGTATTGATCAGCTGATCTTAAGCTACCTGCTGCCCATCATCTACACACTCTCACAAACACACACAAGATGACAACAACACAATCATGCTGCTCTTATATAACAGGTCAGTATGTCCTGTTCCCAGTCTCTCGCCCCTGTGGAGCTCCTACCAAACCCCCACCCAAAGACCCACCACAGAGAAAAGTGCTGGCTAAATCAATGAGTTTGAAATGAGCTGGAATGTGTAATTATTCATTCAGAGTAATTCAGGACTGGTCCACTGGAGAGAGAACACTTAGCCAGCACTCAAGGGCAAAAAAACATGTTGTGATTATCAAATTATTATACAGTAAAATTCTCTTCAGCTAAAGTACAAAGTTATTGGAGGAATACTGTTATTAGAGGACTCTTATTCTAAAGGAGGACATTTAGAATAAACAACACTTATAAGATCATCTGAATGATGGAAGGAGTCTTACCTGCATCCTTTCCAACATGTCGAAGAACTCCGCCGACTGGAAAAGAAAAGAAAATTGAGATTTATGGTTTTGTGGTGATATTTACATCAAACCATTTTTTTTATCATTACCTGACAGGAAATTGTAGAATCAAGAAAGAAGCGAGGATTAATACATTATGACACAACTTATTTTTACTATGATAAGTTGTGTCATTACTATTTTCTATACTGTAAAATAATATTAAAGGCATCAAAACTTGTACCGTTGTTAAAATTCTGACCAATACCAAGAATCTGATCATTATTTTCATGTCATGGTTGATAACAGATAAATGGCAGATTAAAATTCTATACACTTTTTCTAAATAAATAAAAAAATGAAACACTAAATCCCAAAATCATTACATCGTTTTAAATGCTACAGATGAAAATGAGCATCAAAGCATGAAAATGTGAATATCTATTTTGAGATTTAGAAAATTACATTTAACAGTGTTATTAAATTATTAAATTATTAAGTTTTAAAGATCAACATTAAGTGAGCACTAACAAGATAATCTACAAGTAAAAATGGGTAAAATGAGCATGCTCAAATGCATGTAAGAAAAATAAAATAATGATAAAATAATAGATATGGAACCAATTTATTGAGCATCCCTAATCAAAACCCAAAGATTTTTTTTTTTATTAAATTACTTTAAAAATATATATTAAAAAAATACTTAAAATAAAATATTAATAAAATAAAGTTAAAAATTAAATTAAATTAAATTAAATTATCGATATGGAACCTAATTGAAAGCCAAAATATACAGTACAAGCTAAGAAAAACCTTTTTTACAGTTATTAAAAAAGCTAAATAACTAAATCACTTGAAAAATGACTAAAAAACACTTTAAAAATACTTTTAAAAAGCTAAACTTTAAACTTTAAGAATGCTAAAATATTATAAGCAACTTCAGTATGATGAGAAAACAAAACAAATCTTACATTTCAGTCTTATATTTCATTTTGGTCTCAACCCTTTGTCTATAGATTCTCTGCTCACTCTAGACATTCCCTTAATCAACATGAGGTGCATCCTGGGATGCTTTTTAAAGCATACTAAAGAAGTTCCCATGTATAATGGACTCTCAAGCCTACACACCCAACTCCCACAGCCTCACACAGCAAAGCCTGATCGTATCTAAAATCAAGTCAACAACTACAGACTTGTCCGCAATCCACTGCACATTTGTAGCGCTATCTCATAAATATGGAATGTAATATAGGTCAAGATATGCTCAATGCATTGTAAATAACTTCAAATGCCTCTTTCTCCATGCAGACTTAACAAACCATAATACTTCCTCACTCTAAATCAAATGTACTAAAGCTTGACAGCTGCATTTAATTTATGGGCTGTGCAACCATTAGGGCTTAATTATTAGTTATTTAAGAAATACAATAGAGGTTTAAAGCACAATTTGTAGTCTAGACCTGAAGGGCTTACAATAAAAACAACTCTCAAATATTCTTTGCACAATATTTCTACTGAACTCAGAGTCTCTTACCTTGACAGAGCACCCCTGCTAGTTAAGAGGCAGTAGAACAGAAAAACATCTGATATTTGTTCAAAACCGACCCCCTGGGTTTAAGAATATTCCTGTGATCAGACGGAGTGTAACAGATGCAAGTAGGACAGAACAAATGCAGATCGGTTAATGTTTAACCTGCCATGGATCCAAGGGCAACTCACTTCACAAAGTCAACAGAGTAAAGCCCAGCTGAGACATAGTTGACCAAATAACCTTGAGGAACTGAGACCACAACATCAATAGGACGCATGAGGGTAACTTCTTAACGCTAAAGAGGAACGGGTGGCCAAAGAAGGAACAATCCGAGTGGATGTGTATATTTTTGGAAAGGCTTTTGACCTTTTTTGCTTATATATTGGATATTGACTTTGTTTTTGTCCCACAACCAAACAAAACTCACGAGTCAGCAGTCCAATGCCTGAAGCAGTTTGCGTGAGCACATCAAATCAAATATAAAACATAAGAGCTACACGATAAAAAATTCACATAGGTCTTAAATTATGCCGTAGTGTCATAGTAAGGTTATGAAGAGACAGAGCTTATCTCCCAACACAACCTGTTATTCCCACTGTTGTCTCAGACAAGATTATCACCATATTCTGGATCTTTGAAGTTTCACCCATTTTATAATGAAGCACGCAATACATCCAAACATTTTCTAGTAGACATAAAAAGTCCCTGATATTTGATAAGACACCATCAATCACTATATATATATATATATATATATATATATATTATAATGGCATCCAAAATAAATGTTTTTGTTTACAAAATATATGTGTGTGTGCTGTGTATATTTGATTTGGCATATATAAATAAACACGCATACAGTATATATTTTGACAATATTTACATGTATTTACTTGTATATATTTATATTCATATAATTTATATTATATATAAATATATTAAATATAACATATAACATATTTTTCTTAAATATATACATGCATGTGTGTGCATGTAATATACATAATAAATATACACAGTACACACATATATTATGCAAGTAAAAACTTTTATTTTGGATGCGATTAATCACGATTAATTGCCTGACAGCACTTATACTGTATATATCTCAGTTGTAAATAAAAATAAAATATTATTGGAGTATGTCTTAAAAGAAAATACCATATTTTAATCTTCCTACTTCAAATTTCACATTTAATTCAATTTGTGAATTGCTGTTTCTTTGTAATTATTTGTGAAATTTCTGAGTGAAAATATTAAGTATCACAGTAAATAGTTAATTTCTACATATGCTAATACATTGTAGCATTTCTAGTTGCAAAAGTTACCATTAGACCATAAATTAACAATGAACTTCAAAAATTTTGAGTATTTTCAAAAATAAATAAATAAAAAAACTTAAAAATGGAAGTGAATGGGGCAATATGTAAATATTAACATACTTTTTCAATAGTATAGCCACAAAATGACTAAAATGACAGCTGAAATGAGAAGAAAAACATTACAGCTCAAATAATACACACACGCCGACAGAAGAATTAATGTAAGTGCTTTTATAAATCTGCTTTCAAATTATCTACATATTGGCCTCATTTACTTTCATTGTAAACACCTCACTGTAACATTTATTTTGAGGGACGTGTTGAAATAATTTTTGTGGTAGTCAGCATTAAGCACAAATGTTGATGATTGAGCTTAAATAAAACATTTTATAAAAGCTGTTCATTGTTAGTTCATTATAATAAATGCATTAGCAAATGTTATCAAATTGAACCTTATACTGTAAAATGCTGCCATTTCTTTAATAAAAACACTTGAAAGTGTTGTTTATTTGAATTTGCAAGTAGTTATAGGTAGAAATAGACACCGATATAGAGGCAGTGGGGTAATAAAGTGTGCATCTGGGACTCTGTCCAGAACTGGCTGATAAACAGATACAGTATTACATAAAGACACAGACACACTAGAATGAATGAATGAACTGCAGCGGTGCAGGAGGTCTATGCTGTGTCAAATACACACTAACAAGCCTCATCAATACCCCCATCCCACAATAAACACACAGCGAGTCGAATACCTCTCACATTGTGTTTCCCCCCATCACACAGGCGATCATACCTCTCTCCTCTGATTAGCTGTGCTCCTCTATGCAAAGTGAATGGGGCAATATGTAAATATTAACATACTTTTTCAATAGTAGCTATAGCCACAAAATGACTAAAATGACAGCTGAAATGAGAAGAAAAACATTACAGCTCAAATAATACACAGACGCCGACAGAAGAATTCATGTAAGTGCTTTTATAAATCTGCTTTCAAATTATCTACATATTGGCCTCATTTACTTTCATTGTAAACACCTCACTGTAACATTTATTTTGAGGGACGTGTTGAAATAATTTTTGTGGTAGTCAGCATTAAGCACAAATGTTGATGATTGAGCTTAAATAAAACATTTTATAAAAGCTGTTCATTGTTAGTTCATTATAATAAATGCATTAGCAAATGTTATCAAATTGAACCTTATACTGTAAAATGCTGCCATTTCTTTAATAAAAACACTTGAAAGTGTTGTTTATTTGAATTTGCAAGTAGTTATAGGTAGAAATAGACACCGATATAGAGGCAGTGGGGTAATAAAGTGTGCATCTGGGACTCTGTCCAGAACTGGCTGATAAACAGATACAGTATTACATAAAGACACAGACACACTAGAATGAATGAATGAACTGCAGCGGTGCAGGAGGTCTATGCTGTGTCAAATACACACTAACAAGCCTCATCAATACCCCCATCCCACAATAAACACACAGCGAGTCGAATACCTCTCACATTGTGTTTCCCCCCATCACACAGGCGATCATACCTCTCTCCTCTGATTAGCTGTGCTCCTCTATGCAAACACTTTACAAAACAGGAAGAGGACGACTTGGCAGTGTGCACTGGCTCCACACCCTAAAACTGGTCTTACCAGTGTGTCTGTGCTTAGGAGTTATTAATTTCTCCCATTCTCTCTGCCTTTTGTAGTTCTGCTTTGTATATGACCAACAGCTGTTTGAACCACAGTTCACGAGAGCTCATCAAGTCCGCACACTTGCTTTCCTCCCTTTCCTCTTTTCTTCTTTAGACACTGTGTTTACATTGGGAGTGGCCACCAGTTGTGTGAACAACATAATTATATATCTTAAAGGACACATACACATTAATATGTCCCTACTAAATGTAATGTATACACAGGTGTTAATGGAGTCTTTGCACATTGTGGGAGTGTTTTGAGTGGGTGAGTGTGTGTTTTTGTGTCAGGTTTTGGCTACAGTGTTTGGGCCAAAAGTCCCCACAAGAATAGTTAAACCTGAAAAGAGGTACAGTACATTGTGTAGAGTTAACATGTGTTCTGCAAACATTTCTTTGCAATGTGTAAAGTGACTCTAAGGACAAAGTTGGGAACTGGAAACTTGTTATGTGAGTTTTTCAATGACAAGTATATTTTAGGATTGCTGCAATGCAAACTAATACTAGATTTACACTACTTTTTAAGTATACGCAGTGCTAACTAGTCAAAATATAATTTTATTTATAATATACACTATTGTTCAAAAGTTTGGTGTTATTTTTTGTTTTGTTTTTAATAGAAGCCTCTTACGCCCACCAAATCTGCATTTGTTTTTTTAACAAAAATGCACAGCAAAAACAACAATATTGTGAAATATTATTTCAATTTAAAATTACTATTTTATATTTTTATATATTTTAAAATGTTATTTATTTCTGTGATGGCAAAGCTGAATTTTCAGCAGCATTCCTCCAGTCTTCAGTGTCACATGATCCTTCAGAAATAATTCTAATATTCTGATTTGGTATAAAATATGTGACCCTGGACCACAAAACCTTAAAGGGGTCATATGATGCGATTTCAATTTTTCCTTTCTCTTTGGAGTGTTACAAGCTCTTGGTGCATAAAGAAGATCTGTAAAGTTGCAAAGACTAAAGTCTCAAATCCAAAGAGATATTCTTTATAAAAGTTAAGAGTCAGCCACGCCTACCTAAAAAGCCTCGTTCTAACACGCCCCCACATATCTACATCAGATGTGGGAAGATTTGCATAACGCCGCTCAAATGTTCACGCAAAGAAAGAAGGCGTAACTTTTATTCTCGCTGTAGTTTTGTTGTTGCCGCTGCCATGTCGTAAAGACGCTGTGTGCTTCGTTGTGAAAGCAAAACTACTGTGTTTGGTCTTCCAAAAGAGGACGATATGATCCGTGCTGGTCGCTGAGGAAATGCTACAACTTTGCGCTGTGGATTGCCGGATCGGCTTTCACTGTGAACGAAGCGGAGTCCAGCCCGGGGTCGTCACATGTGGTTGCCGCAAGCCCGCCGGACACTCCTT